TGAGATTAATCTTGTTAATTGCAAACCATATGGTACAAAAAATTTATTTACGCACTATAATTTTGACTCAAGCATGAAATAAGTTGATTGCGGTAAAAATTGAATCTTGTGTGTTTAATTTCAATTGTTAGCCTAATAATTTTTTCATATCATTAAATTCAAGTTGCACATCTTGCTATTTGTATATTTACATGACTAGCACATAGATTTATAATTTCATTGCATAAAGATAGTTTATCATAAATATGATACTTAATAGAAGGCATGAGAACTTGAACTTAAGATACGAATTAGTAAATGTGTTATTTAACTATATTAGAGGTAAAATTGGTGAACTTGATCCTTGAGTTTTTCTGATAGGATCATATCTCGTTTAAAAATTCTAAGAATAGAACTTGTTTATCTGCATAATGTGCACCATAGGAAGAGTATAAATTATCATAATCCCTTTTATGATGATGAGCATGCCAAAGATTTAATTGTTAAGTCTCCCCTTGCATTATTAGCGAACTAGGAAGCCTTGTGTCTACTATAATACACTTTATGATGATGTTTTTGAGGACACTATTGATTGTTGTTTACTCAAAGCAATATGCCTTAGTGTCACCTGAGATTTTTGTTTCTTTAATATTTCAGTTCCAAGATATATCACTTGTATTATTTCTCTTAAATTCCCTTGCACAATCATATTGATGATATAGAAGACCATAAGCTCCTTTCTAATGAAGCTCTAGAAAAAGATTCTCCAAGTCAAGATTATTGAGCCTAAATGGCACTTGTGCAAGCATCTAAGTTTCCGCTTAAAACTTTCTTTTGAAATTGTACTGGACTTCAAACATGAGCTTGAAACTAAATCTGCCCTTGAGTCTTGAACAATTTCATGATTGCTAAATTGCTAGTTCACATGCCGTTCTCATTCTCCAATTCTCATGCAATTATCAATTATGATTTTTCATCTTTATGTTAATTAACACATTGATTTTTGTATTCGGTTCTATGTTATCCGATATATCAAATCATAGGAAGAGCTATATGAAAAATATTGAATTAAAATTGCATCTTTATGGGCTTTGTATTTTTAGCCTTCCTCATTGAATGCTTCAATGAGATAACTTCAATTGCATGCTGCTATTGTCATGGTAATTAAAGAGCATTCACTATAATTCATAGATATTTCTTTAACTATATCAGATCCTAAGTGATCAATAGTTTACCCCTTTATATTAGTCATGATACTCTTGTGAATATTATTTAGAAATGGAACAACTTCCATAAAGATGTGCAGCCATTCTCTTTAACTTGTTTTATCTTCCCGGTCATAGTATTTTCATTCTCATTTCACCATGAATATAGTTATAACCAATACTAGCAAAACCCTGGGCATAGTGCACGAAAAAGACTAGTAATTTGGAAATATTAAAAATATTCAAGTCATTCAAAATTGGTATAAATACACAATGTTCTGAAAAATGAAACCTATGAACATACTTCAAAAAGCTTTCTTTGTCATGTTGGTCGCATGTTGGACACAATCTCTAACATGCCCAACATTTATTCTACATGCCAATTATTTGAAAAAGTAAAGTTGGACACAAAAAAAAAAAAAGTAGCATCATGGCAGGGACATTCATCAACATGGACGGAACACACAAGCTATTCTTGGTTTGCGAAATGATTCATGTTGGATGGTGCATGGATGTCCCAATATTGAGGTTGTTGGGTTATACTTGCTTATATTTAGTGTGGCTATTTTGAAACTTGTTTTATCTTTTTGTTGTTTAGGTTTTTTTTTTTTCAACCGTATAATTTGAGATCATTTCTAATATTAATGCCATATATATAATAGTATACTTGTCTATTAGTTTTTCAATGCAAAACATTAATATTAGGTATTTTAATTAAGGCGTTTTGTATTAAAATTTATAAAAGAAAATATTGTGTTTGGCGTGTCTTGTCTTTTATGGTTTTGTTGTCTGTATTTTGTATCAGTGTCCATGTTGTATAGCAGGAAGCAAAATATTATGACATTTGTTTAAATTGTAATTATAATTGGAGACCTTAACAAATAAAAAATAATATGAATGGTTTGTAAAACTTCTAAGTCTTTTTTTTTTTTTTATTTTTTTTTTTTTTTTTTTTGGAGAATTAAATACATAACACTCAAAATGTGCTTATTTTTAGAACCAATGCCCATGCCATTTTTATGAAATACTGTAGTTGTATACTTTCTTATAAGAAAAATAGTTTGTTTAGATTATAAAGATAAATTCATTTCAAGTGAAAGTTTATATACCCAACATTACTTATTGATTTGGACTTTAAGATGAAGGGGTAGTATAAAATATAACATTAACTATTGTCCTAGAATTAGATAGAGGCATTTAAATAATGCTAATAAAAATATTTTTAAGAGTAAGATTTAAGATCTAAAAATCTTGGTTATTCATGACGAAGATAATATTATACGAGAAAAAATAATTAGTGATATTAAGAATATTTCAAAGTATGTCCTTGAAGAATCAAAAGGAAAAGCTCTTAATTGTTAAAATAGTTGGTGGTAGTATCAAAATATATAAGAAAAGATAAAACATAAGAAGTTTTGTTATAAAAATTATTTTAGATGTAAAACCTTAGAAATTGGGAAATATATAGAAGGCCTGTAGGGATTCTAAGAAAGCTATATGCGATGCAAAGAATTTAACTTTTAGTGATTTATATATTAGATCATATACTAAGGAGGAAAAAAGATGTATTTTTAAGTTGACTAAGCAAAGAGATAGGAGAGTATATAGTTCAAATGAATTGCATTAATGATGAAGATAAAAAAGTTCTTTTCTTAGAAGAGGATATTCAACATTTGTGGATCAAATTTTTTGATAAGCTTTTCAATAAAATTTGTGAGATTACGATTGATTTTAGTGACCTTAGCATTAATCAAAGTTGGAGAGATTTTAAAGAAAAATGAAGTGCGAAAAAACAGTGGGACATGATGGTATTTCAATATGTTTTTAAATATTATTTGAAGACAAAAAATGCCAGATGAGTGGAGGATTTTGTTAGTTTTTATTTTTAAGAAGAAATGTGATGCACAAGCAAGTGTGAGTTATAGAGGAAAAGTTAATGTGTTATACATTAAAATTATAGGAGAGAGTAATTGAGCATAGGTTACGTTGTGATACTAATATTTCCCAAAATCAGTTTGGATTCATGCTGGGTAGGTCTACTATGGAAGCTATACATTTGTTGAGAGGTTTGATGGAGAAGTATAGAGAGAGTAAGAAGGATCTACATTTGATATTTATTGATTTAGAAAACGCATATGATAAAGTTCCAAAAGAAGTGTTTTGGAGAGTTCTAGAAAAGAAATGAGTAAATAATGCTTATATTCAAGTCATGAATGATTTGTATGCAGGGGTTGTTAATTGTGTTCAAACACTAGGTGGGTGGTTTGATCAAGTATTTTCCTAGTTCAATTGGATTACATCATGGATCATCTTTAAGCCCACATTTATTTTGCTTTAGTCATGTATGTTTATACTAGAAATTGTAAGAGGATGTATCATAGTGCATGTTTTTTGCTGATAATATTATTCTTGTTGATTAGACAGAGGAGTAGAAAGAAAACATGGATTATGGAGGTCAACCTTAGAATCTGTTGATTAGATCTAAATTTGAATGCATGAAGTGTAATTTTAGTAGTAATATATCTAATTGTGGGTTTGTGACTTTGGGTGATCAAGTTATTAAAAAGAGTGCACGTTTTAGATATCTCGAGTTTATTGTTCAAAACGATGTTGAAATAGATGTGGAGATTATTAGTAGAATTCAAGTTGGATGGTTGAAGTGGAGGAATACATTAGGCCTATGGTGTGATACAAAAGTACCCATCAAATTTAAGAGAGATGATGTCGAGATGTGCAATGGTTTATGGTGTAAAATGTTGACCATTAAAAGAGAATCATAAAATTAAGTTCAGTGTTGCAGAGATGAGGATGCTTAGGTGGATGAGTGGCTTTACACTTAGAGATAGAATGTCAAACGAGTATATATGTGCAAAAGTTGGAGTAGCTCTAGTGGTAGATAAGATTAGTGAGTCATCTTAGATGTTCTGGTCACATAATGCGTCGGCCTTCCAATGACTTGGTTAGGAGAGTATATGTTTTAGATTTGGCTTATGTTAAGAAAGGTAGATGTATATCTAAAATGACTTAGTTGGAAAGTATTAGAAATGACTTTTATTTGTTAGATGTAAATGAGAATTTGACTCTTAATAGGAAACAATGGAGAAAAAAGATTCATATAGTCGATCTCACAGTGGGATAAATGCTTTATATTGTTGTTGTTGTTGTTGTTGTATATATTTGCTCATGGCAATGATCAAATCATTAGTTGGCAATTGTAAAAAATATGGTTGGAATTTTATTGTGAAATTTAATATATAGGTGAGAATTTAAAAATAGGGGCAAGTGGGTGTTAATTTTGTAAATAATCAAGTTTTAGATGTTATGAAGGTAATTGTCCAATTTTTTTTTCCCTTCCACAAATTAATGGTCATTGATGTGCCAACTTATTTTTAGATTAAGGCTTCGTTTGGGACGTCTTTCTTTCTGCTTCCTAAAGCTGCTTCCTAATAAAAAATTAAAATTTTTATACTAAGAAGCTACTTTAGGAAGCAATAAAAAAGCCGTCCCAAATGAAGCATAAAATTTTGAACCATAGAAAGTTGTAATGATTGCAGTAAGATGCCAAATTTGAAGAAAAAAAGATAGTCACAGAATTCACAGACGCACCTATGTGAGTTCATAGTTGTAATCATTCCTATTTTGTAAGCCATCAACTAAACTCTTTATCCAGCATTGTAGTTCAAATTCCAGCCGCACAAGTACTATTGTGGATGAATCTCATAAGCTGGAATAGTAAACAACCAGATTGTAATGTTATTTCCCTTTCTGATTTTGCTAATATTATATACTATTCTATGGGTTTTATGGCGTACACAGGCTGCTAACTATCTGAACATCAAAGGGCTGCTGGATTTGACCTGCCAAACTGTTGCTGATATGATAAAGGGCAAAACTCCAGAAGAGATCCGCAGGACATTTAACATAAAGAATGACTTCACACCTGAGGAAGAAGAGGAGATTCGGAGGGAGAATCAGTGGGCGTTCGAGTGAAGGGCTGCTCTAATTTGGCTTCTCTGTCTCTTTTTTTTTTTTTATCTGCTGCGTCTATCCGTGGATTTGTAATTAGGTTTTTACACTCGTGAATGTCTGTTAAATTTGCCTTCCTAGAACTACTGTACTCCAAAATGTTTTTTTTCCTCCCCTCACCGTTAACTTGCATTTGCTTAATGTTTTAATGTTAGGGCTCTTTTCGTTGCCTGTCGAGATGTGCTTAGAATATAATTTATGTTTAATTTATCAAGAATTATCAAGTGAACTCTCATCAGTAGGGCTGTAAACGAATCGAATCGAGCCAAGCCGAGTACAAGCTTGTTCATATTTGAGCTTATTTATTAATAGTTTATTCAAGCTCGGTTTGAGCTGGATTCGAGTTTTTTCATTTGTGTTCAAGTTTTGCTCATTTAAAATGTTAGATGTTCAGTTCATGTACGATTTGTTTTTAACTTAATGAGTTTTAAACAAGTGGCTCATTTAAATTAACAAATTAGTTTTATTGAGTTATTAATGAATGAGCTTTTTCGAGATGTTTATTAGCTTAATAAACAAGTCTTATTGAGATGAATAATGAACACTTACATTGAACCCGTTAATGAACATATCTATCAAACTTTGTTGAGGCCATAAACGAGCAAGCTTATCTAGCTTTCTCTAGCACAAAAATGAGTAGCTTGTCAAGCTGATAATAAATAATAATTGTAATGACTGAGTTTCTTAATGAACACAAATCAAATAATATATCAAATAGGAAAAGTATACTTTGATCATCAATAAACTCAATAGATAATGAGAGTTAATCAATGTTTTTATCAAATATTAATCAAGTTTTTTTTTTCCTCTAGCTCTGTATTAAATAAGAATCAAGTTTCTTATTGAACTTTATGTCAAGCATTTTCATGAGCTTCAATGATGTTGTACATGAACATCAATGAGCGGAACACAATTGTTTTAAGCTTGTTTATTTAATCATCGATTATTTAAAAAAAAATTCAAATTTATTTGATTACTTAATCAAATGATTATGAATTACTTATAATTGAGCTGTGTCACGAATAGTTTATTGAATGCTCAGTTCGTTTTTAGCTATATTCATCTGTTTTTATTGTTTTATTAATGATGGTTTAGCCTTCGCCATACTTCATGGTTTGGGCAGTTGAAGTTTGGTTTCTATGAGATTCAATTTTATAAGGATCAAAATATTTTTTAGGCTTTATTTTATTTTAATGTGAATGAGCCAATAAATGAATTGAAAAGCAAAAAAAAAAAGGAATGAATGGAAAAAGATGAATCAGTGTTGAATAACTCAGGAACGGTTAACCGTTCCTATTATCTCTGTTGAGGCAGCAGGTGAGCTCTGTGACTGCTGATGAGATCTGGGGAGCTTTGAAGTATGGCCACTTGTGACCTGCAGCTAGCTGCGAGGTAATGGGATAAGTTGGTCAATTGGTGATTTGTATAATATCTGAGGATAATTGTCCATAAAATTTGAGTAACTCTCTTAAATCAATAATTATAAATTTAACCTTTTTAAAATTAATTTTGTTCACCTTTCAAAAACAAAAAAAAAAGTGCTACATATGTCAGTCTAATTTCTAAGCACCTTTTTCTCACTGCGAGCTTTAATATTCTCAGTCAAACGGATTAGTTTTTATAATCACCATAACTGAATCCATTGCTCTGTTTAATCTTTAATCTTTAATCGCTTTTGTTTTAGTTAAAATTAGATTGTCTTTTCTTTTCAATTAATCTTTAACATCCTTTTGATCTTTAATCTCCTTTTAATCATTATATTCTTTTCAATTTGGATTCCTATTCATTCCCATAATTTGTTATGCTTCAAGATCTAATGGAATAATTATTGTTGATATATCATCAAAAAATTATCTTGATCGGGCACAAATCTCGAGGCAAAAACAAGTTGAAAACTTCCGAAATTAAAATTGGAACCATCCAAACTCCGATTTCAGCAAACTCACAATCGAATTGAGTGTCTCGAGAATACGAACCCAACTACACCAAATCCAACCCAATCCGAGCCTAAACGGGTCCAAATAAAGGGTTAGAAGCGCTGTTGGAAGGTTCGAACCATAATTTGGATTACCAAACGATTTTCAAACATAACGTGATTATAGTCGAATTGAGCGGCTCGGCGAGAAGAATCCAACGAGCCTAAGATCATCAAATTCCTACATCACTAAGACATTCAAATGTCCATGAAATCGTCCATAATCAAAGGATTTAACATCGGCCGTTCATCCAACCATCCCCATTTACCCTTGATATCTCACCTATTTATGTGCCATGCTACTCTAGGAAATCTATAAATTGACCCCTCATTCCTCTTAAAAAGGGGACTCCAAGCAAGAGAGCAAGAGAGAGATCGGAGATCACTCTTACCTCCTCGCTCATCCTCAACCACTGCCTGAGTTTCACTGGACCATCGCCTGAGTTACGCCGAACCATCACTTGAGGCCCTCACCTCCATTGGACCACCACTTGAGGCTCTGAGCTCCGTCGGACCACCACTTGAGGCCCTGAGTTCCACCGGACCACCACTTGAGGCCCTTACCTACACCGGACCATCACTTGAGGGCCTGAGCTCCGCCAAACCACCGCCTGATGCTAGAGTTCTATCGGACCACCACTTGAGGGCCTTAGTTCTGTTGGACCACCACCTGACGCCTGACTTCTGCAGGACCACTATCTAAGGCCCGAACATCCACCAGACCACCACCTAAGGCCCGGATTTCTGCCAGACCGCCACCTGACGCCTGACTTCTATCGTACCACCACATGAGGCCCGGACTTCAACCGGACTACCACCTAGGCCCGGACTTCGGCCTAACCACCACCTGAGGCCCGAAATTCCGTCGGACCACCACCTAAGGCCCGAACTTCCTCCGGACCACCACCTGAGCCTTGAACTTTTGCTGGACCACCACCTAAGGGCACGGACTTTTGCTGGACCACCACCTGAGGCCCGGACTTCTGCCATACCATCACCTAAGGCCCCGATTTCTGTCGGGTCACCACCTGATGCCTAGAGTTCTACCAGAGTACCGACCTACAACAACGATTTTTCTGACCCCAATCTCCGGCCAACTACGATCTTTTGGACCCCTGTCTCCTGCCTACTATGGTCCTTCCGACCTCTGTCGCCTACAACAGTCCTTCCAACCTAACGGTCATTCTGGCCTCGGTCTCCTGCCTACTACGGTCTTTTCGGCCAAACAAATATGTCTATGTTGATTATTGTAACTCGCAACTTGTAATATGTTCTATATGATGTACATTTGTGAGATTTAGCACCGCAACGCCCTCCTGATTTCCTTCCCCCAAACAAAGAGCAAAATGTTGTGACACTATATCTTCTAGCGCCTCAATGCTCCAAAAGACATTTTCCTATTTGTGATTTTTTCTTTCCCATTCCAATTCTAATCTTATTTGAGGCTAACTAGACACAAAATGACTTATAATTGATAACTAAATCAAGATTAAGCAAGAATTCGTTATAGGTTAAGTTAATTACTTAGGTTCCAAAATAGCAGGTGTTACATGATTCATCTAATTCTTTCTCAAGAGTTCCATCTCCAAATCTTATGTTTTTGGTTTTCCTTACATTTGGTTGCTCATCCAAATCTCTTTTTTCTTCTTCTTCTTGTTTGCAAGCACCTTCATGCTGGTTTGCATTGACTTTTTACAGCTTAAACTGCAGAGTGGCCTGTGTCTCTCCATTTCCTTCCTGGTTTAAGCATATGCAAAACTAAAGTTTTTATTTTCATAAAAATATCAATTTCTATCATCTCGGCAAGTTAAAAGTTTTGTCGTTCATATTTTAGTTCTGCATGTGAGAAATATATTATTACATCAGTGAAAAATGAACATGATATGAAAACTTTGCCATCTAACACCAATCCTCAAACAAATCCTTCTTTTTTGTCTGAATATCCAACTTCAAGTTAAGGAAGCCTAAGGTGTTGATGACCTTGTCACTCAAGATTTACTGGAGACTTGCTTTGACGCTCTACAGCATTAGATCACAGGTCAAATGGAGCTGATTGGCTTTGCTTTTTCATTACCAACCTTCACAAATGTCGTTACACCAAATGCTTCCATCAGTTCTTCAAGCAAGGAGAAAATGTGATTATTCTGTGCGGAGTCTGGACGAGAAGAACTAACTGGATTGCTGCGTATTTACTAAGTATTTGTTGAGTAATACTCAGTAAATAAACATTAAATCAGCAAATACTCATAAAATACTCAGCGAATACTCACAAAATATTCAGAAAATACTTACAAAATACTCAGTAATACTCACAACTGAATATTTGTTGAGTATTTCTAAATACGTAGTAAATTCGGACGATTCTCCCCGTCTGATCTCCGCAAGTAATAATTTCTTAATACTCCTATGTCCTCTCCTTATCATCTTTGCAACCCGTTACTCCAAATATCATTCCAGTACATGATTTTTATGATTCTTCTATTGTTTTAAAAATTCTTGAGGAGATAGATCCTCGCAAGTTCAAATTTCTTGCTGTTGAGACTTACAAGGGTATATCAAATCCTAATGATCATGACTACACATTAGAGAACATAAAATCTTTGTATGATTCCAACAACAAAATTGAACATGGGATGTTTCTCAACACCTTCAAGTATTCAACTTGTTTGATTTTTTAGTAGGCCCATGTGTCACCACTTCGAAGATTTTTCTATTTGCTCGGCTCTTATATTTTGTTTGGGATATGATTTTCATTACTTAGCTTTTCAGAAGGCTTCCGCACAATTATTTGACTATTTTTTGAGTTATTATAAAAATTTTCATGATGGAATATTAATTTTTACAATCAAATGTGTTAAAATATGATAGTTATAAAGATCATCTGTCCTATCAAAAATAAACATTCATGATACTTATAACTTATAAAAAAATTTAATTTTATCAATGAACTCTTAGGTTTTAATGATGAAGAGGAGTACGGTGGATTACTTATCCAATGAAAAATTTAATGATATATTTATTATCATTTTTAAAAAAAAAGCATAAAATTAATGGATAAATTTTAAGCAATAAATATAATATTTTGTGTATTTATTTCATTGTTTCATCTAACTTTCAACAAGTTTTCCCAAAAAACTTTCAACAAGTTCAAATAAAAATAGTAAAATTTGCCGCAGAATATTTTAAAATTTAAAATGTTGCAATTTTTTTTCTATTTTAAGTGAATTTTATTAGAAATTTAAAACCATGATATATTATCATCTTCCATTCAAACTATTCCAATAAAAAAAGCTGTTCCAAACGTAAAACTTATATACGTAATGTTCTGTCTAATGAGTAGAACTTACTGCCACTGTGCCACAGGCAGGAGGGAGCACCGGCCGCTCCACTGATTTCTTTCAACTCTAGATGGGTGAAGACTATGATCTTATCAAAACTGCCTTCTAAATCCACCCGCCTCCGCCGTTGCCGCTTTCTCTTCTATCGCGCAAGCGACTCCTCCCCCGCTCGATCGTTCTCGTCTTCCACCATTTCTACTGAGAAGAACGATCCGACGACACAGCTCCAGAAAACAGCTTCAAATGTGTGCGAAGTTATCCGACGGAAGCCAAGGTGGGAAAGCTCCATTCTTTCCCTTTTCCCTCCTTCAACCTCCGGCATCTTCCACTCAAACTGCATCAGCCTTGTCATTCGTCGCCTCTCAGATTCCAATCCCCTGCTGTCTTTCCGTTATCTGCTCTGGCTCTCCTCGACCTCTTCTTTAATCTCCCTCGATCCGGAGGTCGCCGGCTCCTTTCTAAACGCCCTGTCGGCCTCCCGTGCCTGGAAGCCTGCCTTGCACGCAATCCGTTCGGTAAAATGCCTTAGTGAGTTCTCCGTCCTCGACCCCTTCGTTTTTCATCTCTGCAGCGATACCCGTTCGATTTATTGCGATAATAACCTACTCTATGACCTTTGCGACATCCTCGAGAGCCATTCTACTAAACTATCACTTCCTACATGGAACTCGATCCTCTCCGCCTCTCTTATAACTGAAAAGACCGATCTTTTCCACCGTTTCTACTCCATGATGATCGAAAGTGGCACTGCTCCCGACGCATCGACCGCCGGATACCTAATCAGAGCCTTGTGCCGCGACGGCGAGCCAACCGTAGCCTACCATGTCCTCCGCGATGTATCCAGGAAACGGATCATACCTGACGTCGTTTCAATCACTCAATTAATTTCCGCTTTCTCTAAATGTGGAAACTTTGGCAGGGTTTCGGAAATCCTTCATCTTATGATCGCCAGCGGCTCCCAGCCAGACCTCTTCACCTATCAGGAAATCATCAACGCCCTCTGCGACGGAGCCGGCCGCACCGCCATGGTTGATGAGGCATTTCGTATCTTCAATGACCTAAAATTAAAGGGCTATGCTTGTGACGTTGTTACGTACACTACCATGATTGACGGACTTTGCAAGAGCGGCCGGATGGAGGAGGCTCTGTTACTGTGGTCGGAGATGGTAGCTAATGGAATTCAACCCAACAACTATACCTACAACGCCATCATTAACGGTTATTGTAAGTCCGGTAATATCGACCATGCACGCAAGCTGTACGATGAGATGTTCTCAAAGGGTTTTAAGGAGAGCACAGTGAGCAGCAACATAATGTTAGCCGGGCTGTGCTTGCATGGCAGGCTGGCTGATGCCATCAACCTGTTTGCTGAAATGCCCAATAAAGGAATCCATCGCGATGTGATCACTTACAACACCTTGATCCAATGCCTGTGCAAAGAAGGCAAGACATCCGATGCTATCGAGCTTTACTCGAGCATGCTAGCAACAAGCATCAGACCAAGCATTTCAACATATACGCCGCTGATCATGGTTCTATGCGAGGAAGGGCGAATGACGGATGCAACGGAGCTAATCAAGATCCTGGAGGCTCAAGGATTGGAGCCATTGGTCTGCACGAATGATTTCATCATATCTGGATTTTGCAGAGTTGGTAATGCTGAGAAGGGCATGGCTTGGTTGTCAAGGATGCTGCAAAGCAATCTAAAGCCAAGGGCAGAGACAATGGACAGGCTAGTTGAATGCCTTTGTTCACTTGGTCAAGTAGATTGCGCACTACAGGTGGTGAAAAAGATGTTTGATATCAGCTACATTTTGGGTTCTTCAGTTTGCCATCTTCTCATCAGCAAACTCTGTGGAGTGGATTCTTACCAAGTTTGTGAGCTCTTGGATGAAATAGTGCTGGTGGAGAGTTAATATTTGATTTATCTCCTTCCCAGGTTGTCCAGGACCGTCAAGTATCTCTAACTTGAGGAAATTTATATCTACTGTCGTGGTGCCTTTGGGAAATATGACTGGGCATGCAATAGATTCTTGCTGCTAAGGAGGTATAAAATAATGTTTTTAATCATAAATTGGAGATTAGTCTATTTATTTATTTATTGTCTGTAGACACGTTGAAAAGGATGAAAAAAGTTGTAAAAGGCTTAAGCGTTTGCAGGTTGATGAGCATACTGTATTGGAATTATTATATTTTTCATAATTCATTCATAAAAATGCCGATAACATATCATGATTTATGAACGAAATTTAATTAGATTTTGATATTTATATCTAGAATTTTTTTCTATTAATAGATTTGAAAATATATCGATAATCATTATGACATCTCTTAGCAAAACATATAAAATGATTAAAATTAAATTATGAGGTTAGATTTGTCTCTTCGTGTATGGTTTCTTGAAGGAGCGAGAAAGGAATTGGTTTATTTTGTGGCTCTCCTTATAGCGAACTTTTATTTTATCCGGTGAACGTACGCTCCTCTACGTTCGGTTTTAGACCAATACAGCGCAATACCGAGTTTTTTGAACGTAGAGGAGCGGAGCGTACGTTCACTGGATGTAAAACCGAACGTAGAGGAGCGTACGTTCACTGGATGTAATAAAAGTTCCCTTATAGCTAAGGTGGTTACTTGACAGTGATAAATGTTGCATGTCTGTGGATATCAAATGTTGTACTTGGGAGAATAAAGTTTGTGAACTTCGGTTGATGTGGATCTAGCCTACAGAATAACTAGCCTCCATTTCCCCTCCTTACCTTCCAGTGTTATCCAGCCGGGCCTTAAGCTGGAAGAGCTTTTTTTCTTCTCCTAATCTCTCATCCATTGATTTCCCCTCAACTATATAACTCCTGAGAACGGAGTCAATTTTTTGAAGAGGAAGTTGTTGAAGTTGCAAAGGAATGGAATATTTCGTTGGTTGGTTACTCTTTGGGTAGGAGTCACTAAAATGAAGCTCTGCTTGCTGCGATTCAAAAAACGTGGTCGTTCAAAGGTAGCATCTCTCTAATTAATCTCACTATGCTATGGGTTCTTTTTGTTGCGTTTCAAATACTATGAGATGGTATGGAAAGGTGGCCCATGTTTTCTTTTGGGTAGCCCTTTATCCTACAAAAATGATCACCTTCCCTCCTAAGAGAGAAGATTTTACCTCCATATCACTTTGGATTAAAATACACGATATGTTGTTAACCTGTTGGAACCCAGAGGGTATCTCAAAGATTGTTAGCTTCATTGGAATCTCTTTTGCTGTAGACAAGCTCACAACAAAGAAATCTCGCTTAACTTTCGCCAAGGTATGTATCTAAATTGACAGTAAATCCCACCTGTTAGATAAAATCTCGTTCTTTGTGGTCGGGAAAACCCATATCCTCAAAATTCAATGCAACAGGAAATCTAACCTTTGTGATGAATGTTGGTCTTTTGTGCATTCATCAAACTTATGCCATATTAAACCTTAGCCTACACCTATAAGGAGACTGCTTATCGCGCCAGGAGCACTAGCAGGAAAATTAGGGGTAATCGTCCTCCTAATTAGAAGACTTATGACTCCTGGAAGGTTTCTTTAACTCATCTTCAAGGCTCAGATAAGGCTGCCCTCTATCTCCTTACATCTTCTATATTGCTATGGATGGTCTGTCTTCTTTGTTTAACAAAGCAGTGATAGATGGCTCTTTTTCTTATATTCATTTTGGTAATTTATATATTACTCGCCTTCTCTATGCATAAAACCTTTTGGTTTATGGCAAAGCTACTGTTGAAATTTTACAAGCGTTGAAAATTATTCTCAATGACTTTGGTGATGTATCTGGCCTCAATATTAATACATCAAAGAGTTCCATCATGTTCTCTAGGTATCATGGCAACAATGCAGCTCTCTCAGCCATTCTTGATTTCCCTTCAAAATCTTCTATTTTGAGATACTTTGGAATTCCAATCTGTTAAAAGACAAAAAATCTCAAACTTTCAGCCACTGATCTCTAAAATCACCTCCCCTATAGATGGGTGGAAAAGCAAATCCCTCTCTTTAGCAGGAAGAGTGCAATACTTAAAGTTTACTATCTCAAATACTATTGCTTATAGGATCAGAGGATCAATTATACCCAAAATTTGTATTAGACATCTCAAAAAGATATGTGCTAAATTTCTTTATCACAGTGACATTAATGCAAGAAAGCTGCAAATGACTTCCTGGATAAATACATCTAGACCGAAGAAAAAAGAGGGACTTAGCATTCCTAACTTTTATGATCTCACTTTTGCATTCAACTGTGCTTTGATTTGGAGATGTATATCCTCTACTTCTCTTTTCAATTCTTATATTCAGTCCAATATTTGTGACGTTTAAATTGCTTCTTAGTTGACTTATAGATCAGAATCTGTTTCTGTTTTTGACTTTAAGCATTGCAATATTTGGTAATCCTTTTACATTAATAAAATGAACTTGTCCCGCAATTAAAAAAAAAAGGAATAAAATAAATTAAATTATAAACATTTCTAGTTGATAGTCAAGTCAAAACTCGAAACCAACAATTAGGTTGTGTATTGTGGTTGGGTGTGTTTTGGGAAAAGCATTAGTGGAATTAGGAATATAATATTTGATATATCATCAAAAACTTAGCTTGATCGGGCACGAATCTCAAGGCAAAATCAAACTGGAAATTTCAAAAATTAAATCCGGGACCATTAGAACTCCAATTTCAGCAAACTTATAGTCGAACTGTACGTCTCAAAAATACAAACCCAACGACACCAAATTCGACTCAATATGAGTCTAAATGGATCCAAACCAAGGGTCTGAAGCGCTATTGGAGAGTTTGAACCACAATTTGGATTACCAAACGGTTTCCAAACATGTTGTGATTATAGTCGAATCAAGCGGCTCGACGAGATGAATCCAACGAGCCAAACATCACCGAATTCTGACATCATTAAGACCTTCAAATGTCTGACGAACGGTACACGATCAAGGGATTCAAAATCGGTTGTCCATCCAACCACTCCATATTTACCCATGATCTCTCACCTATTTATAGGTCATGTCACTCCAGAAATCTATAAATAGACCCCTCATTTCTCTTGAAAAAGGGGAATTAAGTAAGAAGAGAAGAGAAGAATAAGAGGGAAGAAACTCCTTCTCGACCATCGTCGGAGTTCCGCCCGACTTCCAAGTGACGCCGAAATTTCGCCCGACCTCCAAGTGACGCTAGAATTCCGCCCGAACTCCAAGTGACGTCGGAGTTTCACCCGAACTCCAAGTGACGCCGGAGTTCTTCCCAAATACCATCTAATGCTAGAGTTCTCCTCGGCCGCCAACTAACGTTGTACTTCTATCCGATGCCGGACCTCTGCTCATTGCCAAGTTTCTACCTGACGCTGGACTTCTGCCTGTTGTCGGACTTTCGCCGGACATCTATCTGATGCTGAATTTCTGTCCATTACTTGATTTCTATCGTATACCATCCTTCTGACCTTTGTCGTCAGACAACAATCCTTCTGACCTCCGTCGCCCGCCGACTACGGTCCTTCTGACTTATGTTGCCCACTGACTTCACTTTCGACCTCTGTCGCCCGTCGACTATGATCCTTCTGACTTACGTCGCCCACCGACTATAGTCCTTCCGACCTCTGTCGCCCGCCGACTACGGTCCTTCTAACTTACATCGCCCAATGGCTACAGTCCTTCCGACCAGGCGAATACGTTAAAGTGACTCTTTGTATTCCCAAAATGTAATGCATTTCATATGATGTAAATCAAGCCAAGGCCTTCCCCCTAAGAAAGGGCCTCATTTGTATTCGACCGCAAATAATAGTGGATTCATTCAAACTAGGTCAGCTCCCGTGGTTTTTTCCCCTTTTTAGGGGATTTCCGGCCACGTAAAAATCTTGGTGTCTCCTTTAATGCTGCACCCTCTCTCTTTATTAGTGTGTGTTGGATCTTAGTACAAAGCTAAGACGTTAAGCTTTATTTTTCTCTATCGCCGCGAATACTCCAAGACGCAACAATATTATAACACTTTTTTTTGGATATTAGGCCAATTAAGATAGACTCATGCACACAACGCATATATAAGACTCGAACCCAAGACCTCTTAGTTGATAACCTAAGTTCCCAACAAATAGACTAAAATAAGGTGTGTAATATTATAACACTTAGTGGAATTGCCTCCTTTCACTAAAGGCATTTTCCCCCTGAGGAATTTTTAAAAGGAACCAGTTTAAGGTAGGATTTAGGAGAAGGAATATATTATAAATTTAATTTAAAAAGTCTGAAAACGCAAAAAAAAAACAAAGTGTTTTAATGGAAAACGTGAACAGTAATTGCTTTTTCTATTAAAATACAAATTTTTTTTGTGTTTCTCATTCAATACTTCTTTTTTGCTGTGTCAATATTTATTTAAATTATTTTTATAAATATCGTTATAATAATGTTAGTTTATATATAAGTAAAAATTGTTTTACAAATAATAATAACTTTATATTTATTTAAATTGTTATAATAACGTTATAAATATAGAATTTTTATAAGAAAATTATTTTAAATATTGTCTTAGATATATTATTAAATAAATTTAATATTAGATATTTGATTATTTTATTTTAAATATAATAGATTATTTTTCAAATTATTTCTCTATAAATATAATGTAACGTTATAAAAAGTTGTATATTTACTTAATATCTAAAAATTCTTATAAAAGTTTATCATATATTTATATATAAACTAATAAACTCAAATATCATATATTTAAATAAAATTAAATTCAATAATCAATATAACTGTTATCTGTTATCTGTTATATATATTTTAATTTCTTTTAGATTTGTTGAAATTTTAGTTAGATGATTTCGTTTAATTTGCTGTAATAATGGTATACTCGAGAAAACTAAATTGTTTTTTTTTCTTCTTTATTTTAATTTTTATATCTTAGACGTGTTTATAAATTTAAAATCTTTATCGTCTAATAGTTTTATTTTTCTAATGTCAAACTAACACGTCCAAGTTATAAAGATTAAAATAAGTAAGAAAAAATAATTTAATTTTCTCGAGTATAACATTAACACAATAAATTAAACTAAATAATCTAACTAAAATATAAACAAATCGAAAAGAAATTTAAAAAATATAACTGATAGAGTAAAAATGTTATTTGATGAAGCTAAGAAAAAATTGCTGAGACAAATCGCCGTATATTTTTTTTACTGAAAACACAAAACTTATTTGCATTT